CCTATTGGCTTGAACTCTTATTAAGATATTCATAGTTCATTAGAACCTATATAATGTATATACTTTTGACTCAAAAGTGATTTGATATTTTGAAACATTTCTTCATTAGTTTTACTAATACTACAATGTTTTTTTCTTAGAGTTAGAGTTATTATCAAGTTAAATTATGTGTCCTTATATATTGTAATTGTTATTAATCAATTATCGATTCAATGTTCAGAAATGATATCATCAATTTTAATAGATATTTTCAACATAGGTATAACAAATATGCAAATATCTAATAAATATATACTGAATAAATGATTTGATTAGACTTTTAACTAATATAAAATATTAAAGTTATTATATTTTTCTTTTTCATTGGGATTGAATATTTTGAATATAAAATCTAAATTTATTCAATAGATATTATTCTATTGTGATCTTATCGATATTCTTGTTAGATTTCTTTATTTTAGATCACATTAAATGATCTATTCTTTATTTATGAAATATTGGATAGACTTTTTATTGTATGAAAACTCTATTACTGGACAATAGTAAATATGTACAATTTTTATCACACATTGAATTAATGTGTTCAATGATCTATGAAAATTGTGTGAATAGAGGACAAAAGTCATATCTCCGCCTTCCTTTTTATACAACGAAATCATGCGTGTCACTGCATTTATGGTGTCTTTCTTCTATCATTCGCTTTCTTTTTTCCTCTTCATATAATTTCATTTTCCCATAAGAAAAACGTGTTATCACGTCCTCGACATGCATAATTTTTCCTTCAATCTAATATGTAAGATGTAATCAACTGTGTACATTATATCAAACAAACACTATCACTACCTACTGCTGTTCATTTAATTTATCATCAGGCATTACTAACACGAACGCATGTGCGTATTTACTTCCAAGTATGCAACCTTGATAATAGAGTACATCTTGCCTCGTGTTTGTCGTTAACCAAACAACTAGACTACTCCTCCTTCCTGACAAATATATGGAACAAAAAAAAAAATGAGAGTTCAATATGTAAAAATGACAATAACACACGAAAAGGTCAAATTATGATAGTACTTATACAATCGTGCTCGTGCAAAGAAATAAACCGTAGCATTAGCACGACTGTTCGATAAATGATTTCTTGAAACAGGCGCACGTGCACATACTTCAATAATTTATGGCCTTGTTCTGACATCAATGAGCATTGTACAGTAAATGTCTTCATACGACAATGCTAATCGAATGGGCAAACGATGAAAGGCATATCGATTTAGTAATTTTCCTCGAAGACATTTCCTTAGTCTTTCTCTTTATCTGTGCCTTCAAATGCTATTCATTTAGGTTGATTTGCTTCTTCTTCTTTTTTTATGTCTATTTCCTTCAGTGATCATATTGATTCTCTAATCAGTCTTTTTCTTGATAACCTTGATAAATGTGATCCAATTGCAAATCATCTCTGACATAGAAGTCAATAGAAAAAAAAAATCTTCTCATTACGTACTGATTTCGAACATGTTTGTATAAAATTTTGTAAAGCACGATTTGCAGCTCGTTCTTCACCATTCTCATCGAAATTATCATCATTATCATCAAATTCGGGTTCCGATTCGGATAATTCCGAATCCCAATCAGGAATTGATGGTGAATGATGTAATAGTTGATACTTTTGTGATGGTAATGATTGTAATTTTTCAGGTTGAATCGTTAATTCATCGGATGTCGTCGGTTCGTCTTCTTCTTCAATTGACGACATACTGCAACGTCGAACAAGAAGACGATTCATGATGATAGTAGTATGTCCTTAGATTGATAATGAAGACAGAATGAATCTAGAATGAACGAAGAGAAGGAAGACCGACAATGACGACAAAATCATCAGAGGAGAAAAGAAGAGAAGAAAAGAGGGAGCTATAAAAAAAAATAGAATTAAACACATGTTGACGCATTTATTGTGTGCAGTATATATGTACTATTTTTTTTCCTCTCTTTTGCTCTACGTTTCTCATTTTTCAAGAAGCTCTCACACATGCAACTATCCATCGTGAATTGAGACTATGAAATATATAAGCTGGAAAATGTAGGAAAAAGAAAAAAAAAAAAGAATTAATTCAGTTAGTTGTCACCACTTTCACATGATCAATTCTTTATACAGTAGATATGATTGAAAACTACTAGTAATAAAATAAAAGCAAACATATGATAATATGTATTTCTTATATCAATTACCAATATATTTACAAAAAAAAAAATGACGCTTAACATTAGGTCAATATTATTTTTTCTTTTAAGTGAAAATATCGCTATCTACTTTATTTTAATACTAATGTGTGAAAATTGATTTTATAATTGATAACTAAAGTCTATTTACTATAGGAACAAAGAATTTCAAACAAGACCGATAAAAAAAAACAAAAATGCAGATGTTCATCCGTTTTATCAATTCTTAAAATCAGAATCGATATGTTCATACTATGATTGCTGATGAATAAAATGAGATATTTATCTACATAATAATACATACTGTGTTCATCTACTAAGATAGAAGAAAGAAAAAACTGAAACGAATTATGCATTCGTTGGTCTTCATCATGATCCATCTTGTACGCTGTGTCTATATGTGCGATGACAAGTTGATCGATATTCATAAATGGATGCATGCGGCGATGTTTCTTTCTCTCTCTCTCTCTCTCTCTCTCTTTCTCTGTGTGTGTCTCTTCTTCTCATCGATAATCATATGTATCGGCACATACGCAACGGTCGATGAGCAATATCTCTCACACACATATCCACACACATACATCAATGAACGTTTGTTCGTTCTCAGCTTCGATTTCTCACTTTTTTCTTCTCTAATCAATACTCTCTCTCTCTCTCTCCTCTCTATCATCAATGCATATATAAAGAAAAAGAACGATATGAAGACAATTATTGAAGGATAATAGAGTGTTGGCACATCTTCTTGATTAGCTGCCTACTGATGCTACTATTGGAATGCGATCGATTTATGCAACATTGTTACATATACATATAAATATATATATATATATATATATATATATATATATATATAGGTATGTGACATGAACGATCAGGCCTGTGAGCATTCTCAGCCAATAGCAACAAACACCCGACACAATGTGATTGTTGTTTAACCAACAGGCCATCTAAAGCTTGTTAACATTGTCGACAACGTTTGGTAGGCGATGAAGATGGAAAAAGAAAAAAAAAATGATATCATCTTATCTTATGTCCAGCACCCGTCTTCATTCTTTTTTTCTTCTCCGTTATCCATTACAAAGTATATGTTGTACGGACACAATGCAAAACAAAAATATACTCGTATCAATCACGATAAATTGTTTTACTTTAAAGTAATTTGGCTAGACAGATATGATCGAAGAATTTCTACCTCAATGATGAGAACAATGGATGATAATGATAATGATGAGATACACTTGAAAAATGATACATTTAACATTCAGGTATATTCTTTTATTCTTGATAAGACACATATCAGATAAAATTCTCATGAGAAATAATTGATTTCTTTCTTTCTTTCTTTTCTTTTTTTTGCAATTGTATTTAAATAACATTTGATTTCAATATAATATCTTTCACATAATATTATTATTATTTTTTTTTTTTTGTCATTTTTTCTTGTCTATCTCTTCATATTCTTTATGGATATGCTTGTCAATAAAATTATTATATTGTTAGAAACATTTGACACTAACTTGTCTTGTCTTTTTTACTATATAATTATCGAAATTTTTCTTATTCTATATATATGTCCACCTTCACATTACTTAAATACACAGACTAAAGTAAAGGTGACAATTGTTGACGGATTTATATAAGTATTATAATCGAATATTGAATAAGACAAAAAAAAGAAATATGCAAGATTCTTTTTATAACAGAGAATAAGAAGAAAATAAAAATCAAATAGTTCAAACACAAGCCTCTTCATCTTTCTATTAAATATTTATTACTATCGTATGCTACGCGAATGAACACAAGGAGAGAAGATCAAAATCTGTTGAAAGAGGCACCAGAAGAAATAGCTTATCGATCAAATATATCTCTTATGCAATAAATCGACAGAATGAACGAACGCGTATGTGTACCATATGAATGAATCGATACGTTAGATATATGTAAAGTACTGATATTTTACTGTGCTTACCGTATATGTATGTATGTATGTATGTTTGTTCAATTTAATTGGAAAAAAAAAGAAACAAGAAAAAAAAAAAAAAAGAAATCATGAGATTGAATCATATGATTTATATTCGACCTCGATTTATCGGCTATTTATTTTCGACCATAGAATCACACAAGATATGTGTAGCGTTCAAGGTTATTGTAAATGTTTGTATGATGAACAGTAGAAGAAAAAAAAGAAAAAAAGAGAGACTTAGTTCATACGGTCATTTAAATGAAAAATGCTTAACAACCATGAAACTTGTTCCAATGACATTTCAGATCGATAAGCAATCAATCTTATTAAACGATTTTAATACATGTCATTTATGATGAAGAAAAAGATTACACATATTAAGCGTTAATATTATAGTTCACTTTTTGCTTAACACCTTGAATTTGTGTTCTTGATTACATTATTCGTAAAAGTATTCTATCAGATAATCATCTTTTTTCTTTTTTTTTCATTTTCCGATTTTAAAATAAAATATTTTACATAGAAATCATTTGTTAATTTATCTTGATGAATGACATATTTGATTAAAAAAAATGACAACAATCTTTAATTACAAATAGAAAAAAAGAAAAAAACTATATTATATTAAACTTCATTGAATATGAGGCTAATTTCTTTTTCTTTTTCTTTTTTTTATGTATTATAAATAAAATCTTATAGATGATATTAGGTAATTTAGCTTTATGGTTTAAACTAAACAATATATATAAACAAATCAATCATGATCTAGGCGCTCATTACATTATTTATTTGATGATCTAATTCTATTCGCTATCTTTCAATGGGTACCACATGTAGCTCATCGAAAACGACAGGCAATGTTTCATCATCAAATCTATCTCAAAAACAACTTGAAAAATTACATGAATTAACAAATATTCCTGAAGATGAAATATTAATGTATTATCGTCAATTTATAATTGTTAGTCCAAATGGACGAATGACATATACACAATTTGAAAATCAACTTAAAACAATCGGTATAACAACAGATAATAGTAAATCTATATTTAAAATGATTGATAAAGATAATTCAAGTCAAATATCTTTTCAAGAATATCTTCTTTCATTAGTTATGTTTTCTAATCAATCTCAACCAGAACAACAATTAGGTATTGTTTTTGATACATATCAAGCATTATCTCGACAAAGTTTAAAACAAATATCAAATGATGCACTTATACAAGGTATGACAAGAGATGATATTGAACATATGCTTAAACGAATACATTCAAATTTATCAAAAGAAGAAATTAATAAATTATGTGATCGATTTATGGATAGTGATCAAAATAAAAATGGTTTTATTAGTAAACAAGAATTTATTTCAGCATGTATGAAAAATTCGAAACTTATGGAACAATTAGGACATAAAGATGCTTTTGTAAAAGATAATAAAAATGAAGGTTAATTCATTTTACAAAATATCAAATAAGAATTAAAATAAATTATATTTAACTATTTTTCAATATGACATATATATTCATTGATTCTAATAGTTACTATCGATCGAATCTCTTGGAACAATACCAGTCTTCATGTACATCTCTACTCATAGGTAGTGGAATGTTTTGAATCTAAAATAGGTTATTTATAAGATTCCTACTGGGAAGTCAAAGATAGAATCGAAGAGAATTATTTTATGCTATTTGAACGAAATACAGTTAGTGCTTCTTTTTTTCAACTCATATTTTGCATGAAAAAAACAACAAAATGCTTGCGAATTATATATTGATGGATATACTTTCATGTGTAGTCCAAGACAAAAAACACAAAGTACTCAGAAGATTTTCTCATCTACAGAACTTTCTAGAGCTTGCTGCGCTGAATCATTTTGGTTTAAAAAAAAGATTCAAATTTCCTCAACAAACCACAGCATTAGGACCAAAATACACAAAATCATCAACTGTCGCTCAACAGTAGTTAGGAATAGCTAGTATTTTGGTCCTAGCACTATAACTCATTTGAATATTTTTTTTTAACCAAGATGATCAGTTTAACGAGCTCTACAAAGTTCTAAAGACGAAAAAATCTTCTGAAAACCTTAAGTTTTTTCTGATTGACTACTCATGGAAGTATCTATTAAAAATACGATTCTCAAGCATTTTGTCATTGATAGTATTATAGAAAGTTACTAATTTTAATTGATATGCAAAGTTTTCTTACATCATTTGTCAATTGTGTGTAGACTAAAGTTTCGAATGATTTTCAATTGAAAAGATATATTCAAAAAGTTTTTCATATTTATAATAAAATGATTGTTACATATAATTTTTTTCTTACTCGTATGAATTTAAATCTTGATTAATTTTATTTCAAAAATTTCTTTCTAAATCAATTTTCTTATATCATACTACAAATGATATTATTCATTGATAGATAGTTTGTTTGTTTTTTTTTAAAATTTTGAATCACTTTATAATATATCAATTTTGTCTGTTTCTATTTATTCATACAGTAAACATAAGAATAGATTTAAAAAAAAAAATGACATGTGTGCATACTTATTCAACGCTAGTCTGAAGAAAGATGATTATTTCTTTGATTTTTTTCGATGATAACAAAAATTATTTGTTCATTTTATTTGAATAATTAATTGTATTAAGATTTCTTGGTAACAACAACTACGACTGTAATAATTATAGCTATAATAATTATAATAAATACAATTACACCACATATAATTCTTTTTCGACGAGCTGCTGACTAAATATAAAAATTTATTTTCTTATGATATATTTCAATAAAATTGGTTTTTTTTTTTTTTTTTTTGTTTAAATTAAATTCATACCTGTAATTCAACAGCTTTACCTAAAGTTTTAGCACCGTGAAAGACATTAGTTTCAGTTTTAGCAACACTCGATTCAATATTATCTAAAGTAAAATTAAAAGTTTAATCAATTTTATTTTTATAACCGAATACTTACCTATCATTTGACCGTGACCAGTAACAAGTTCAGCAAAATCACGATGAATTTCATGTAATTGAACTATATCACTCTAAAAAAAGAAACAACGAAAGAGAATTTTATTGTCTTTTTAAAAATGAATTTACTTCTAAGTGCCGCATTTCATCGTGTCGTTCTTCAACATCTCGTAATTGAGTTTCATTTGTTCTTTGTAGTTGATCAACACCATAATAGATTGGTTCATTACCTTGTCCACGATCGAGCATCGTTCTTTTCTCAAATCAACTCAATAGATTATCTACATAAAAAAAAAAATATATATATATATATCCATTATTCTGTTCTGTGTATCAGTGTCAGATGAAATAACAATATGATGAGAAAAAAAAAAGAAAAAATGGTGCATGAATAGATAATAGATAATAATTCTTTTAAACAGAACAAAGATATCATAATTCAACAATGAAATATCTTCTACAGCAGTAAATATTATTTTTAATAGAAACTATTTAATTTGTAAAAACAAACTTCATTTAGTTTGATGCAGTAAAAATTAGGATTAGGAAAAGTAACAGCACTTCATAACTAAGTCAATGCAACTCACTTTTATTGTTTTGTTATTATAAATGTTCTTTATCCGAAAGAAAATCCATGTATTCATGTTTCACGTGATAAGAGAGAATGAAAAAAGAAAAGAAGATAGTAAAACAACGTCATTTCGAATCATACACGTATTAAAAACAAAACTAGGGATTTGTAAGATAGCTTCGGAAACCCGCTCTGAGATCTTTTCTTTGTTCCATAAAAAATTTTTGCTAAAAAGAGACTCTCAATTTTTGTATTTCTTCCTTTGTTCTGATGCTTACAGATCAGAGATATTGATGGGTTAACTTGTTTTAGCTCAATACGCCCGACCCGAAATTCGAGTGCAAGTTGGATCTTTAATGGGCCATGGGTTTGCCAGTTATGCATTTACACGAGTGACGGGCTCATATGCGAAGTTTATTCTTTTACGCATAATTCGTAGGTTTCATTAAGCATTCCTTGAAAGGTCGAGAAGCTTTTAAAGTTGAGTTACGCAGTTCGAGAAGTTTCACACTTGCTACAGAATCACACTAGGACGATTTTAAATTTGTGAATTTTCCATTGACTGCTAGAAAAAATTGAAAACATTGCTAGGTTGAGATTATTAAAATTATACATCTGATTAAATAGGATTAGAGTAAACTTGAATATTTAACAGTTTCTCATAGTCAAGATGAGTTAATTCATCATCTTTTTTTTTATATCTAATCACCAGAGCTGTAGGATCTACCCGTGTGCGCAAGCGCGCGCTTAGGGAAATTTTTTGAAAAATTGTTAAGCGGGGAAATTTTTGGAAGTTTGTTAATTACAAGGTCGTTTCAAAAAGTAACTTTTTTCCATGTGAAGAAAACTGCCAAGTGCCATGGTTCTATCCACAAGTTTCTTGCCTTTGTACTATTAATTATCTCTCTTGTTGGTTTAGGGTGTGGGTCTTCTCTTCACTCAAAATTACACCAAACACCCACACCCTCAAGATAGCAAAGTAATGCTTCATTGGAATGCTCCCCCGTTACATTTTGTTGATTCATTTGTCAAACATTCACTGGATGACTAATTTAGCAACGAGAAGGAAAAAAATTGGTTATTTTATAAAAAAGTGAACAATATCAAACATGGAAACTTATATCAACTGGATCAATTGTGCTAAATCGTTTGAGAAAAAAACAAGTACCAAGATTATCAGAGCCACTTGATGATCAAATAGAACGGATTATTTTTTATATCACGCTATTTGTCTTAACTAGCTCTATTTCAATGCGCCTTCTTTATAGATACATATTCCATACACGAAAGTCTTACTTTTTATTTTTTTCTAGCTGGGGAAATTTTTCGACATAATTTTAGCATTTGGGAAACTTTTTTTGGTTTTTACGGCAGATTCTGCACCTCTGCTAATCACCAACACTAAATATTTATCCATTTAGATAAATCATCAAACATCAATTTATCATTGTAGTGAGATATGACAGTTGATATTGGCGCTAATGAACAACTACAAGCATTATCAGAAGAGACTTTTTTTGTATATTTTTTATGTTTGCTGTTCTTTTTTTTTTTAATCATTCTTGAAATTAAACTTATTTGAAAGAATAATTATCCAACTGAACTATAAATTTTTGTGAAAAGAACAATGAAAAAGTGCTGATTAATCACAAAAAAAGCAGCGGCAAACCGCGAGTTTTTTTTTCCGGTTTTCATTACATAGAATCGTTAATATGATCTAAAATAAAAAATACAAATAAAAGAAAATTTATATTTAATCTAATTGATAAAATAATTTAAATAAAGAAATAGATAACTCAAACGTAAAAAACCTTACACCTATTTAGTTAAATTGATAAAATTATCTGTGCTATGATTTTTAAGAGATTAGTATGACTATACAGAACATGTATTTTTAATTTTACAAGACCTAATATTTAAATTAGAACGTATTTAACCGTTTAAACATTTATTTAAATGCATAAATCAATCATTATAAAATCTATTTGCATAAGACAAACTTAAAATTATAGTCTTATAAAATCATATTAGACCTTACAAGATTCCGACCATCAGACTTTGCAAGAATCATCTAAAATACACGCTAGCATCTTGTAGTAAGATATTTGTAGGATCTCGTAAGATTACTGAGTGTGAATTTCACGATATTTAATTACCTGTAAGATCTTATTCGATTTTTGTAAGATTTTTCCACTTGGGCAATGAATGTACACGACTGTAGTACACGATTGCATTCGAGTAACATAGTCGTGAATTCATTTGCGCTTATCGAGTAAGTAATTTATCGGTTTTGAATTCAGTAATAAATACAATGGTAGGTAGTATTTACTTTAGAATAAATAATTTTTATTGTTATTTAGATTAAATCGAACAACAAATTAAATTGTGAGTATTTTATTTTTAAATAAATAATTTTTATTCTATTATTTAGATCAATTTGAAAAACAGATTAGATAGAAATTATCTGTTTCAAATGAAGAACTAATATTTCACATGTTTCATGGAGGAAGAAAGTAAGTCTCTCTCGGTCTTGAGTGAGTAATAGCGCGATGTGGATACAATATGATATGATATCATATTTCGTCATGTACAACACGACGAGATATGATCGTAATTCAGAAGTCAAGTAATATGAGGAAATACGAACGACCGCATAGTGTCGTAATGTTCAATCTAGATATAAAATTCAAAATAATTGACTGCGAATCACTAGTATTCACTGTTATCCAGTGATTAAATAGATATTTTTCTTAGAAAAAAAACAATTCTATACGAATTTATTTTATATACAAAAAAGTAATATACAAAATCTTAAGAACGTTTATTAATTACTGTAGTACAACAAAGACTGATTAATTCGTACAATTTTCTATTGATGAACTCGTTATGATCGATTGTTGACAATATCCTATATGGTTTACTAGCGGAGGTACCCGGCGTTGCCCGGGAAATTTGATAGTACATCCTTGACACAGTAGAAGGTTTTAAAAAAATCTATCTGTACTGAAAAACAGTTTTATCACTAATCCGGTACCACTGTGAGTCAGGAAAAAGAACTGATGCGTCATCGTTGTGAGTCAAGAAAAAGAACGAATATGCCATTATTGTGAGCTAGAAAAAAAGACTCACATGCACGTTTTTTCCTTATGGCATATAGATAGACACAATCGCACGCACAGACTCTCTAGAAAAGGCATTTATTGTAGTAATTCAACAAAAGGAGGGGGCAACCCCCCCCCCCCCCTCAGGTGAAAGTTTTGGGTCGAAAACAATCCTATGACCTTCCCCTGGGCGAAAGGGTATTTCCTGCAAAATTTCATTGCATTTGCTCATACCGTGTCCAAGTGAATAGCGAACAGACAAACAGACAAACATTCTTCTTTATATATATAGATTTTGTATCTGATATGTTGAATATAATCATAATTTGGAATTGAGAATTGTGTTAAAAGTTCATTCTATAAAAGATTTAACATTGACATTTTTCAAGCCATGAATTTCGCCTATATGACATAGGAATCGAATGTCTACCAACAAAACATCTGCCAACAAGAATACGCATAAATGACGATATAGGTTTGTTTTTATGTCACATGTTTTGATAAGGTAAGAGTCATACAAAGATTATTAGTTTTCTATTTTTGTTTTAGTTTTTTTTTGTCACGCAAAAAAGTCAATGGATGAATTCTTTTTCTCATATAAAACAATTATACAAATAGGACAATAAAAACGACTTGATGATTGACTAAAGGATTGTTGGATTCTTTTCATCTTGATAAAATACAGAAAACAAGACAAACAGCCGATACACACAACAATAAATCACATTTATTTCTTATTTGAAATACATTAAAATGTTATTTCACATTTTTACTTTAGCTGTCGATTGTAGTATTAACAATATTTTTAGAATCGAATTATTGATTGAGTTTATTTATTTTGTTTGAACTAATTTTGAATAGCAGAAAAAGTAAAATCTAAATCATTTTTGATTTTAGACAGTTTTTGTCTGACGAACATATGAAGAGTACTCAAATAAAAGTAAGTTTCGTAAAGGACTCTCAGAAGGATGAACATCTAATTATTTTTGGGAGTACAGACTTACAGTACGTAGTACAATAACCTCAAATTCTGGTAGGTTCAATCCAATCTTCGGAAAAACACCACTCTCTAAGCCCTCATGCTGGATAAAATATTAGGGTGTGGGTGTATGGATCTCTTTAGCCACACCCATACCCTCGATGCATCATATAAAATACTTAATCAAATAGTACCCTCTAGATTTCAAGAGTTATACAATGTAAGAGATATTTGAATTTTTTTAAAGTAAAAAATCATTTGACAAGAAACTGACAGTAATACTTTTAAAATCAAAATATCTGTTAATTAATAGTTATTATCATATTATTTATCTTCAATCTATTTAATTGAAACTTGTGACATTTCTCAAGAAAATTATTGAAATGTCACTTTATATAAATGATATCAAATATTTAAGAAAATAAATCTCTATAATAAGTCTAATTTCTAAAAAAAAAAAAGAAACATCATTGTCAATGATTATGTCAATTAATATCCTCGCGTGTTGAATTAACTATTGCGAAAGATTAAATTCTATATAATTTTTATAATATTTAATAATCATATTATAAAATTCATGATAGAATCAAGAATCATTATGATGAAATAATTTCACAATACTTTGCAATTTAATTTATAAAATTCAAATTTAATTGAATACAATTGTAATTTTATTTTCAAATTAATTTACTTTTAATATTTAAATTTATTTTTATTAAACAAAAAATCTTAATTAATATTCATTTCAAATAAAACATTTTTTATTTACACACTATGAGATTTATCAGTAATAGAAATCGATGGATTTTCTATATAATCTTTTTCTGGATGTCCATAAATAAGATTTGCTAATTCATATTCAAGTTCAGAATCTGTAACTGAAACAATACGTGATGATAAAGGTTGACTAAATGTTTCATTGATTATCTTTTGTTCTTCAAGAATAATTTTTAGTTCTAAATCGATGCTATTTTCATCTAATTCCGATATTCGATATTCACCATTATTTTTATCTATGGTATCATCTATCATTTGTAATTTCTGCAATAATTACTATGAAAAATGTGTTTCAAAAATTTTACTTTCTTAGTTCAAAGCATGTTCAGAATTAAATACCTTTGATAATGATGGAGAAGGCTTATTTTGTGCGACTTCATCTAAAAATAATGTATGAGTCATATAATAAGAAACAGAAAGAATTCTTTTTTTTTTTAACTAACCTTGTATTTTTGGTGGTGTTATTTCAGGTTGATAACGCGTAGAATATTTTGAACTTTTCTTACCAATACAAGCACCCATTTGGAAGCAAAAAAACAATACAATTGTATAAAACTTCTCGTTTATATTATTCTAGTAAACTAATGAATATTATTTTCTAATGTCGTTTTCTTTTTTGTCTGTCTTAGTAAAGGGTTCCTTTTTTTCGTTCTCGTATTGACTCATGTCTTGTTAAAAATTATAATAGAAAAAAAGAAGAAAAAAAATGACATTAGTATGTTTCATCGAGCCATTATTTATTCTACACAAAAAATAAAGGAGAAAAAAAGAAAATTTTTTTTGTTTTGATGTTAAGAAATAGAGAATAAAAGGATACATATCAAAATAAAATGCACATGACACCCAAATTTTTTTTTAATATTCTAATATGATTAATTGTATCCTATATAAATAATATTTACAGATAAAAAAAAATAAAAATAAAAATAAAACTTCGAATGTTCTATTGATGATATTAAGACTAATAATTTTTGCTTATTGACTTCAATCGTTTTATGAAGTAGTTTATTGTTGAAATAATATCAATTGAGCTTGTAATACTTGATTTTTGCTAATCAATTTATTGAATAATATTTTTGGTAATGAAGTAGTTGTTATTTAATTCTAATTCTTATTTTTATAAGATATTTAACAAATCAAATCCTTTTTATATTTATCAACTGAAATTGATTGTTTTAAAAATTTAATAATATTTGTTTCGTTGAAAATAAGAAACACTTTTTTTCGTTTTTTTGAAAAAGAGAATCTAAGAAAAATTCAGTAGATAAGAAAGATTGTTTATATTATAATGACACATATAAGAACCTGAATATAATAAAAATAAACGATTTATTTTATTTAAAAGATAAAAGGATGTGCGTAAATAGTTTTTACTGTCATAATCATAGAAACTATAAAGAGGACGCGCAAAATTCTTTAGAATTACACGTTATCTTTTTACACAGTAACTATCATCGGTAACAAAACGTGACATTATAGCAAGTATAATAGAAGCAAAGATGTCTCAAGAAACTACTGTTGATCAAATAGATTCATGTAACAATACAGAATCTTATATTATTCATTATTGTAATAGATTAGTTGAACAAACAATTGAACGAGCACTTGGTTTGTATTTTATATTAAATTATTTCATTTTCTAAATAAGTTATCTATGATTTTTGTTTCTTTGTTTTGTTTTAGATGTTATCTATGAAGAATCAAATCATATGGATTTAAAGATTCTTGAATGGAGACATTCAATTAATGAAATAAATAGTTCAAACAATTAAATATATTTTTTCTTTGATTTATGAATTATTTCATTTCTTTTTTTCCTTTTGTCATTTTATTCTTTAAAAAAATCTATCGATAAATAGAAAGTAATAAATTGTCAATATATTTTTTCTTCTTCCTTTTCTCGTAATTAAACCTATTGATTGTAAGAGAAAAAAAAAAGTGACATCACTTATGCAAGAAACGCAAGGGTAGTTTTTATAGCTTTCAAGTTGTTTTTTTTCTTTTTCATTCTACCATTGGAGAAAAAATAGTGATATTTAAGATTGTTGTTTTTTTAATGTCTACATAGTTATTCCGGTGTTTATTAACGATAAAATTACAGACATACATTATAATAGTACACGATATAAAATAACAAAATGGGTAATCGTCCAGGAAGTACTATTGATAAATTAAAACATAAAAAAAATAGTTCACATTTAACCTCACCACCTTCATCACCAATAGAATCAGCATCAACAATTAAAACTACACATTTTGAAACATTTATACTTGTTTGGCTTGATCCTAATGTTGATACAAATGTGGAAAATGTTCAAACACAAGAACGTTTACGAAAAATTCTAACATGTCTTATAACATTTGATACAGTGGATGCATGTGAACAATGGCTTAAAAAGTGTTGTTCTGATGAAAAAATTCTTTTTATTGTATCGGGTGCATATGGACAAGAAATTATACCAAAAATTCATCATTTACAAGCAATAATTAGTATTTATATTTATTGTTTAGATATTGATCGTAATAAAATTTGGGCTCAAAATTTTGCAAAAATTCGAAATATTATATCTTCAACAGATACTCTTTTACATGAATTATCACTTGATCAAATTAATCTTGAAAGTCTTGAAGATTCTAAAGCATTAAATATTTATAAACATGAACAACAACAAGTTTATTCTCATGATACTAAAATTGTATCATTCGTATGTTATCAATTATTACTTGAAATTCTTATATCTCCAAATTATATAACACAACAAGGAACATATTATGAATTAATTCATACTCTTCGTCAATATAGTTCTGATGATAAATATGGTTCAAAATTAATTAATGAATTTCAAAAAACATATAATTCAAATAAAGCTATATCATGGTTAACACGTGACACACCCTTATCACGTTTTATTAATAAAGCATTACGTGAACAAGATATTCATATGCTTTTTACATTACGTTTTCTTCTTGTTGATATTCATTCTCAATTAACTACTTATCAAGCACGATCACTTCATGTATATAAATTACAACTTATGTTAAAAAATGAAATGGAAAATATTCGAGCAAATCAAGGTCAATTATTAGCTATGAATAGATTTTTATTTGCATCGACTGATAAATCTCAATTGATATCTACAATTACAAAAAATGATCAATATGAAATAGTTTTATTTGATATTAAAGCAGATTTTCGTCTGGGTGTAGCTCCTTTTGCTTTTCTTCATGATATTGATTCAAATATTGAACATCAAATTGATCGAGAAGTACTTTTTATGTGTGGTTCAATATTTGAAGTTGGTTCATTAGTATATGAAAATAATATATGGAATCTTCAATTAAAATTAGCTAATGAAAATGATTCATTAATATTATTTCATATGAAAGAAAAATTAAGAGAAACTAAAAATTTAAGTATTATTGGTGATCTATTAAATCAATATGATCAAAAAGAACAAGCAAATATTTATTATGAAAGACTTTTTAAAGAATTACCAAAACATCATGCTTTTGTATCACAAATCAATAGACAACAATTACCTAGAAATAATAACAGACCAAATCCTAGTAAATGATACATTTCTTTTTTTTGTTTAAATCAAATCTAAATTTTGATATCTTTTTTTTTTTTGTTTTAGTTTCTATTCCGAATGTTCCATTTGTTGTTGTTAATTTATCTGAACATATGTCTAAATTTGCTTCAGCTGTATTGGATATTCTTTGTTCTTTGACATCGGATATTATATCTATAATGAATGATGTATCAATTAATGATATTTATCAATGGCCTAAAAGTTCAATATCAATTTTTACAACTACACAATTCTTATCTCCATTAGAACAAAAAAAAATATCAAAATATTTTAAAACTTTTGTATTAAATGATGATAAGAATAATATTGAACAACAACAACAACAACAATTTACAACTATTGATGAATTAATATGTCGTTTAGTTGATGAAATAATTCAATACTATCGATCTGAAGCAAATGAATTTTCTAAAATTGGTGATTCAACTAAAGTACAAGAACAATATAAACAAATAAATCGAATTTATCGTGAATTAAGAAAAATTGATGAAAAACTTGTAAAAATTAATTCTCCATTAAACAAATCAGAAAATATTGAACCAATATTAATTTGGTTAATATCAAATACAGGACATGATGAAGAAGATACAGAATATATTGAAAAAAATTTTAAAGATAATTTTTCATCATATTTTACTTTTTATGATTCATGTGAATTTCATTCTCATTTACTTGATGAAAACAATATAACTGATATGTTTATTATCATTGATAGTAATTATGAAGAATCAATTGTCGAGTGTGTACGTCAATTTCCTTATGTTAAATATGTATATTATTATGGAGAATTAAAAACTAAAAGTAATAATATAATGATAAATCGAGATGATCTTTATTATCGTATAACATCTGATCTTATTGATTATTATGCAAAATTAGGTGAAAAATATCAAACTAATAAACAATCAAAAGAAGCTCGAAAAATATTTTTAAAAGCACAAACATTATGTCGTCTTTTAGCAGAAAATTGTTTTTTATCAGAATAATCTGTTTTTTTTTTCTTTCTTTTTATGTTTTAGATGACAACTATTCATGATATAATATTTGATGAAAATTATTCTCATGCAACACATCGATTTTTATTACTTGATGATCATAGTACAAATCGAATTGGTCCTTTACCAGTTATCCCATTATCTAATGCATTACTTATGACATTTATACATGTATTTCGGAACTTAATTCAATGTCAACGATATATAAGTGATGATAATCGAAAAATGATAACATTATTTATTTCTAATAGAAATATTATTGATTGGAATAATCGATTTGATGAAAATGATAATAATATAGATAATATACATCTGTTTTGTGATACATATTTTGATTATATAAAAATGAAACGATGGGATGGATGTTATAGACGTAAAATTCAAGGTATTCATTTACCTGACGAAGTTGATTATACATTACTAAAATTAGGTGTCGATTATATACATTCAATATTACCAGGCTTTCGTGAAGATCGAGGATTATGTAGAAAGTTCTGTGCTGATGCAAGACAATTAATTGGAGCATTAGACAAATATTTTCAAGATCAAATGGATAATCTAGATGACAGTTGCTGTGCATCAAAATCATAGTGAATTAGTTTTTTTTTATATAAAAGACAACTTAAATTAAATAAAAATAAATACTACTATCGGCGCCAGAATTCAAGGCAGTCGGTTGCTTTTTGAATAACTCTTGATAGGAACAAGATAGAGACCTGCGGTTGTCACCGTTTGATAGCCAAGACCCAAGAGCATATTTTTATAAGCAAAACCTTTTCTGAGAAAAAGTCCGAAGTTTGGTTTTTCAGAGGATCTTTGAAAAACCACGCTGGCGTTTTGAAAATTGTCATAGAAGTCTATTGATTTTTTTTACATATTCGGAATCAGCATGAAAAACTCTGTCGACTCATATATTTTTCTAGTCTGTTAACGAATTTTTTTTTCGTCGAAAATTTATCCCTAGTCATCCTCAGGACCACATCAATAAATGAATTCAGTGAAAAGATGACGAAGGACGAATTTTTCGGCGAAAAAAAAACTTTGTTAAAAGACTAGAAAAATATATGAGTCGACGCAGTTTTTCATGCTGATTCCGAATATATAAAAAAATCAATAGACTTCTATGACAATTTTCAAAACGCCAGCGTGGTTTTTCAAAGATCCTCTAGAAAACCAAACTTTGGACTTTTTCTCAGAAAAGATTTTGCTTATAAAAATATGCTCTTGGGTCTTGGCTATCAAATGTTGAAAACCGCAGGTCTCTATCTTGTTCCTATCAAGAGTTATTCAAAAAGCAACCGACTGCCTTGAATTCTGGCGCCGATAGTAGTATGAACAAATATGTCAAAGTAATAACTAGAGTTATAAAGTAATCAAGTGTATGTGGCCAAAAATTTTATCTTCAAAAATTCAAATATTAAAAATGAATACATCTATGCTTAATATATCTCACTATAAAACTAGATTTTTTAAAATCAAGTCGAACCTTGAAAAAGTTCATTGTCAAAAATTATTTTTTTTACAGTTCAGTAATTTTACAAAGATCATTTCAGTTAACAACTTATCAAAATATTTTTTGAATGAAAAACTATCTGAATCAAATGATTAGTTTATAAGATTCATTGTGAGAAAAGAAATTACTTCGATTATATTAGAGATGTAATACAAAAAGAACAATTGTAGGACCGAAATTCACTCAAAAGATCGGTCATATCGCATGTTGTGAACGCTCTCGAAACATTTCTAATCTGAGTGAGCTCAAATTTTTATTAATTATTCTCATATACGTGATTTATTGTTGGCTATAGCACGATATCGTACTCGTGAACAGAACTCTTTCATGCCTGGTTAACTGTCAATCATAGCATCATTTTACATTAACGAGTATCACCAATGCTATGAGTTTCCGAAAAATTTCAGATATTGACTCCTAAATTCCTTTTTTTTTTTGCAAACAAGACATCGTTTTGGTGTAAAACCAAGATGATATTCAGAATCAACTCGTCCAGTGGTATTGAAATCATTTATAACGTTCATTTTTGGCAGAGAAACTTTTTATACTTTAGGCTGAAAATCTTCCGAAAAAACTGGCTGTCTTGATTTTGTAAATGCTGAAATTCGCTAATATCCAACTACGCTTAAACTTCTACTAAAAATTCCTCTATGTAAGACCTAGCATCAACTGTACACCAGTTAATGTGAACTGAGTTAGTGGCTTCAAAAAAAAAACATCCTGATGGTTTACCTTCAAATTCCTTGCACATTCTTTGTATAACATTCTAGTACAAAACTAAAACGATATTCACAATTAGCGTATGAAACTGCATCGAATGATGTAATTGCATTTAAATATATCTTTTAATAAAAAAATTTCTTTCGAAATATGTAGCAGAGTCTCTCCAGATGATTTTTATGAAAATTGTTTTTTTTCGAAAACAAGTGGTTTATTTTCTTAAAGAAGATTTCTTATGTAATATATAATCACTTTCGACCCATTAAAACCTGTTTTTCTTACCACAAAACCTACATGTTTGCCTACTATGCGAAAATTACCTGCTGTGATTGCATAATCGAGCCATATTTGTCGTCGTTCGCTTGTTATCAATATTCTCCCTATAAAAGAAAACTTATAAATTTATTTTTTTTCTCGTATCAAATAACATTTAACAGACAAAACTAAATATTTTACAAATCGCAATCATTTATAACGAATCATTGAGGGTGTCACGTCGTATGTTTCTTTTTCATTTGTGTTACTTCTTGTGACATACACTATGTTGTATTAAATATAGTCACTGAAATTCTGTACGCTACGTCATTCGTACATAACTGTATTAGACTATAGTTTTCGCTTTTTTGTTCTTTCGTCTTTGAAATGCACGCCAAATTGAATTTCCTCTCTCATGAGAGTGTTTTTAAAAAAACAGAACGACACAAGTACCTCGGTGGCTGTCTAAGTAAGTGATTGATATTTTCTCTAATCCTATGAACAATAGTTTATAGTACAATATTCTTCCATTCAATAATTCAAACAACTTCTATGATAATTAATAGCTTGTGATTGATAAAAAAAAATCCAGGATGGAATATAAACAGATTTATGAATTTTTAAGGAAAATCGTAGTCATAGAGTAGAATGAAAGTTGATATATTCTTTTTTTCAAATATTATGGTAAAAGAGAGCAATATGAAACCTTGGAGATTTGAATAAAATATGCATAAAGTTTTATAAACTAAAAATATATTTTTCAAGCATTATATTTGAATACATATTACTATTTAATCAAAAACAAAAAAACCGAACATGTAGACCAGGACTTGTATAAATTATATCTGATAATAACTTATTAATTTTATCATTACTAATAATGAGATACTTACAGTTGAGAAATAACGAATAGAACAAAACAAAAAATACATCACATTAAATATATTTGCTACCGAACAATGTTAACAAAACAAAGTTTTCTGTATTTTATCAAAAATAATTTTCTTTGCAATATAATCATAAAATAAGTCGATTCGAAAGGTGAACTTCAATGTCTCAAGTAGAAATGAGTACATTGTTTTGTTCAAAAATTTTAAGAAGAATAGTCAACAAAAAGAAAACCAGATGTCATAAGTAGCAATAACATAAAAAGTAATGTATATATTTGTCTTTCTTCATCTAAGAAAAACAGAACATAAATAAACCAATCGTATCCTTTAATGTACGAAAAAACATCATTTAAGATAAGCTACATATAAAAGTATATGTAGCTTATCTCAACCGCAAAACATCTACGCAATGACAAAACGATTAAATCAAATTCAAAACAATTTCAATATTTCTTCCTGATTAGCATAAGTAAGGTAAAATTAGATAATAACGAAAAAAATTCATGAATAAACACAAAATATAATCTTATTTCCTGTAATAGAAGTTTCTGTGTCATCTACTAGTATGTTGAAGCAGATGAATGTGATAAGAGCTTATTTATGAGATTCCTTTTTTTTTAAAATTATCATTATTAAGAAGGCTTCCCAAGAAAAAAGTTACTACAATTTAAAAGATTAAAAAAACGCGGAAATCCTTGTACTTTTTATATTCATTGATTTTCAGCTCAGTATCCTGAAAATTCTATATACTTCCGATTAAAAATATATTGATTAAAGTTACAGTATTCTAAATAATTAACGAACGTTATATATTATATCTGAGATATTGTTCGCTTCAAAAAGCCTTTAATACGTAGAGTTTTTCATTACAAGAAGTAGAATTCAGATGATATCACTTAGAACAAGACGAACAAGTTGAAATAAAAAAAAATATATATATAATTTCAGTTATCACTAATAGAATTTTAAATAACTTCTACTTGTTTTTCAATTTTAAAAACTTCAACCAAGTCTATATTTATTCTTAAGAGAATGTCTTTTTTCATATAATCATGAATATTTCGATTACTATGATTCGAAAGAATAGTTATATAACATTATTACTACAATAAAAACAAAGCCATTTAAAATGATTGTAATAGAGAATATAGTTGAGTAATACAAGCAAATCTTTTAAATAGATTAAAAGTAATCTTTGGATGTTCATACTTTTGTCAATTGTTAATCTAGTAATTCTGTGTCATTCAATTAGAAGTTAGAATTACAAGATATGCATCTTAAAAATAATTATCATGACGTAGACAACATCCTTCATATTGAATAAGAAAAAGTCTTTTACGTCAGTCAATACGTCATGAGCGCAGACTCATTCTATAAATTCAAGAAAGAATTATGAAATATAGTGCGTCACAAATGACTCAGATTGCTCGTCATAGACTATTCTGATTCATTATGACTCATCTCAAGCTATAATCAGTTACCAAAAAAAAAAAGATCAGCAATGGTGTGATCCTGCATTGTTAGTCAAAGCATTCTTTTTGCTTTTCTTCTCTTTTATCGATTTATTTATAATGTCCAAGAAAAAAAAAATAAATTTTCTTTTTATAATGCTAAGCACATACGATAATAATAAAATAATTGTATCGATCGAAAAATTCCTAATGATGATTAATTATACGTTAAGACGAAACGAAAGAATTATTTCATCTTAATATTAGAGAACATTGAAAATCTTACAATTTAGTTTTGTATAAACAAAGAAAGGTAAATATAAAGAAAAAGAATATTTTATATACAAACATTTCTTATAACATTTTATAAAATTTTATTGAATAAAATATTTAAGTGTAAGTTAAATAATCAAATTGTCACTATCCATTGTAAGAGTACTCTATATCAGGTTTGTTTATGCAACAAAAAAAAAACAAGAGGAGACGTCATCTAGACGTAGTGGTTTTTTCTTGCGGCGGGCAAGGTTGTCTTCTCTTATTTTCTTCCCTTTTTTTTCTTTATTCCCGTATTCAGGTAAGAACAGAAGAAAAATAAAGCACAATAGCATGGTGTTGCCAAGCACTATATATATATATACGTATAGGAGAACGAGAGACGTGAAAAACATTTTGTAAAGATTCGTTCATATTGATGTGTTCCCATAGTGAAAACAACTTAATTAAACTATTGGAATATGCAATTTATTTCTTATATAAACATTC